GTTTAACGAGGAGATAGCGGATCCTATACTCCTCGCTATAGTCGCTAAGTTAATCTTCGAGCACTACGAGCTTAAGGGCAAAGCTTTAGACTAACTGTCCCTTACGCTAACGGGCCGCCTTATACTCGAGGGTTACGTCTAGTATACGGTTTATAGGGTCCCCGACGCAGTCCCGATAGAAGGTTTTAAAGTCCTAGTAGGTATAATTTTGTAGGTCCTTAAGGCTATTTTTATTATGCTATCGCTCCTACGTATCGCCTACGAGGTATATAATACTATAAAGCACCTTGCTTTCGTCCGTATAATAGGTAGCTCCGGATAGTATAAAGGTAATAGAAAGTTCTCTAAGGAATCGCCTCGACTCCTTAATTATATCGCCTTTAAAGGGCTTAGGTTCCTTTAGGCGAGGCTTAATAGCCGCAAGACTAGCGACTACGTAGCTTATACTAGGTATAGTAGCTACGCTTAGCGCACTTCCGGAAAGAGGTAGTCGATACGAGACAGATTTAGCTCTCTAAGATTCAGGCCTCTAAATCGACTTATTAGCTAATTCTTCCTCGTCCTCGTCCTCGTCTAGGAATAGGGTCCTCGTAGGACCCTCGCTAGTAGTGCCGCTACTCGGAGCTAGCGCATCGCCTACGTCCCTAAAGGCACAAAGGCGCGCATTCTCTCGCTTAGCTTCTTAAGCCTATACTTCTAGCCTAAGCACTTCTTACTTAGCTAGAAATCGTTCGAGCCGTAGGCGGGTCGCTTCTCGGCGCGCCTAATATTCGGCTTCGTTTTATTATATCGCCGCGTCGTTTTCTAATGCTATCGGCGCTCCTAGGGCATTATTCTATGCGTTTCCCGCGCTCGGCGCATTCGGATCGCTTGCGTTTATCTTTCGGGGTTCTATAGGCCGCTACGAAGGGTAGACGGTTTAGAACTATAAGAAAATAGGTATATAGTAACGTATAGAACACCCTCTACTAATCGCCGTAGTAGAAAGTAGAACTAAACCGTACCTTTCTTAGAATAGGGCAGAGCGTTTACTATTAACTAGGCTACGCACGGATAGTACGTATACCGAGCCGGTAACCGAGTATATCCGTACGAGCGACCGAGCTTTTCCGCGCATACGCTAAGCAGGCTTTACGCTAGCGTAGCAGCACCGCAGTGCACGTAATAACATTATATAATTGTTATATAGGCTTGCTAAGGTAGGATAGGAGACTTCACTTAATTAGGTTCTTACACTACCTACTAACATAACCCTTCTTATAGCGTAGTACGATAGCGACACTATTACTAGTTACCTCTAATAAAAACAAGTAGGCGCGGACGGTAGAGCGCTAGTCGACTAAACAGACTAAATTCTTCCTCGAGCAGCTAATAGAATTAATAAAGGTTAGCCGGTAGGCGGAGTCTAATAACTTTAAGATCGGTAACCTTCGTAACCTCGCGGAGGTAATAAATAAGAAGTATAGCACTAAGCGGACCGACAATAACCTAAAGAATAAGTAGATAGCTATTAAGCGAGATTAGGGTATATAGGTTGCTTACTTAAAGCATGTTAGTAGCTAGAATAGTATGCTACTAACTACTAAGTCGGACGTTAAAGATACCTATTTCGAGGAGCATACGAAGTGTACTCTATTCCGTAACGAATTGCCTAAATACTATAAGTTAATAGAGGAGTTAATCGGTTAAGATATAGCGGTTAGCGACTACGTAGGCTCTATAGAAGCACTAGCGGATAGCAGCGCGAATAAGTCGGATAGTAAGGAAGAGGAAGAATATATAGTAGAAGATATAGAAGCTACCGCCTCGAAGCCGTTTACTAAGGAACAGTTAATAGTACTGCGTATAGCTAAGGTATAAGAGAAATATACTAAGAAGATGCAGAAGGAGGCTAATCGTATCTATAAGAAGCAAGACGAGGCTTCTAAAGGCAATACCCTTATCGCGAAGTCTATCTAGAAGGCCTTCGAGCTATTAGTATTAATAGTAGCGGAGAGTGTAAAGGATGCTAAGGAAGAACGTGCCCTCGCGAGGAAATAGGCCGACTAAGCCGCTACTATTGCTAAAGAAGCCGCCGCTGTTGCTAAAGCCGGTTCTGCTATTAAGATCGTAACGGCGCGTCTTCTAGACCCTAATATATAGGTAGGAAAGGATTTGTCGATAGCGTATAGGATGTTGTTAGTAAGGGAGTGTACGAAGAAGGATGCTAATTATAACTACGTAGAGGTTGCATTAAGCCTAAACGACGAGCAATTCGAGGAGTACTTCTACGCGGTACTAATAGACCTGCGTACTAATAATCGTTAGAATAGGTACCTATAGCAGATAGATAGATATATATAGTATAGCTATTAGCAATAGGTCGGTGTTATAGTATAGGTTAGAAAGTAGGGATTGTATTAAAAAGTATATAGCGAATATAGGCCTATTTAATACTAGAGTTCGGGTAGTTAGGAATATTTTTCGTTACAAATGCACGCTAGTGTCTATACTATTGATTTGTGTAAAGGTGTTGTTAGTTTTTACTAGCAAAAAGTGATTACGTACGAGGCCTATTATATGCGTCGAAAGGATATCCTAACGACTCGAACTTTAACTTTACTTCGAAACGCTAAGAACCGACGGTTTCAACCTACGAGAATTTCGATAGAAGGACGAGGCGGGCTCCGAGAGATAGCAATAGTATTAGAATATGTCTATAAAAACACAAAATCGACTTCCTTACTAAATCCCTTACTAAAAGCATTATCCGCTGTTCGCCTATATATTTACCTATTACCTACCCTTCTCTACTATATACGGCGCTATACTCCGACTAGCACTTCTTACTTCTACGCCCTTATATCGAGCCCTCTAGCCGTTTGCTACCCTATATACTTAGCAAACATTTACCGCGCTATCCGATTACGATAATCCGTATAAGTCTCGTCGTTATTATCGCTAGCATGCCTCCTATTGTCTACGTAGACTTCAGCTATATAGTCCGCCTCTCTTGCGGCTTCTAATTTAGTATTAGTTAGCACTAGTTATAGCTCCTTAGATAGAGGTTAACGGCCGTCCGATAAAATAAAGTTATAAATAACAGTATAGGCGATAATAAAGCGGTTCTGCTATAGTATAGACTACGTACTTGGACCTTCCTTAATAATCTTAAACCGGCGATTTATTATACTAAACACCCTCTCGATATAGTTACGGAGCTAAGTATACCGTAGGTTAAATAACTCCTTGTAATCTATAGGCCTAGCTTCCGCGTTACCTTGTTCTCGGAGGTAGTAACGAGTCTTCTAATATAGCACTAGAAGGCGAGGATCTTTGAAGGAATAACTACCGTCGGCAAGATAGAAGTATCTATCTAGTACGTCGAAGCCTAAGTTATAGGCCTTCCTTAATATAGTACTATCTGTCGCTAACCCCTCGTAACTAGGTATAATAAATAGGAAGCGTAGTATCGAGTTATACGCAGCTATTACATTCGTAGCAATAAAGCCCTTCCGATAACGGTATAGATTTTAGTTAATCTTCTTCGGATTAGCAATTAATAACGTGCCGTCGATCGTACTAAGAATACCCTAGAAATACGGCTAGAATTTGCTACTATTTTCACCTTCGGACTAGGCTAGTTTCTAGCGCTTGTCTAGCAACTAGATCTACCGCTTTGTAATACGGCAAAGACTCTTCGATACCTCTAGAATTATACGACTAGGTATGCCCTTCGCTACGCTAAACTCGCTAGCTAATTCTAAGCAGGTATTATTATACGCTATATAGACGAGAAACATAATAACTCGTACTTCTACTAAATACCGCTTATCCTTTAAACTACCGTATTCCTTTAGCTTATTAACTAACGCCTTTAATACCGGTTGCCGTAGGCGCGTCCGCTCGAGGCAATAGCGCGCTAGACTATATAATATCTTAAACACCTCCTTCTTAAACCTTCTACGCTCTATCTAAGTCGATATACGCCCTATCGGTCGATAAACGTTACGCCTTCGAAATCGCGGTAGTTCTTTAAGAAAGAATAGCGGTACTACCGAGAGCGCGCTTACTATCGTAACTACTATTAATAACTAATCTATCGTCGCTCTACCCTCCGCGCGCGCTAAATATACCTCGTATATCGCTATACTATCGAATTCTATACTATAAAGAGGTAGATATAGCGGTAGCTAGCCGGAAGTCTACTTAGCGTACGGATAGGTATAAAAAGTCCTCTAGAGCCGCTTACGCCGATCTTACTATATATAGTATAATTATAGCGAGATACCGAGTATAGCGAAGAAGCGATAATATTATAAACGATTATAATAAGACGGCAACGATTAAAGGCGGCTCTATAATCGTTGTTGCAATCTATAGTAGATAATCGCTATAAACGGTAGCAAGTAGATAGGGCCTAAATTAATATTAAAGTTAGAGTTATCGTTTCTTTAAGGCTATACTCTAACTTAGATAGCTATATATTACAGCTATCTTCTAATTTGAAGCCTGTTAACTCCTACTCAATTATAGGCGTGCTTATTCTACGGGCTGTAAACTGCTAGCGTAATTGATGTACCGATTGTCATAGTGCTGTTGAGCAAGTTTCTCCAGGAACAGGCCTAAGGCGAGGACTGTGATGGCGCCATGTGTAACTTTGATAGGTGTATATTAGCAAGCCGTTCTGCAGTTAGCAGATTGTCTTCTATCACCATTCATTCCCAAGATTGTCAACCAACCCTTCGCAAAGATCAGCATGCCGGGACTGCTCGTGGGTCGCAGGGCTGAGACAGCGTGAGAGAAGGCACTCAGGCCCGTGTGTCGGTAAGCTGATAATGATCTGGCTTTCACATGCAGTGCACAGCTACTGAATTCTCTACAGAAGCAACCTATCATTACATCGTAAACTGGGAATCTTTCGCTCTGCTAATCATACACTTTTGGTCATAATTCGCTTGGTCATGATGCGCTTGGTCATGATGCGCTTGGTCATGATGCGCTTGGTCATGATGCGCCGCCTAGGATGACTTTGGGCAACCGGTGCAGGCACACTTGCCTGGCTCACAAGGGCATTTACCCTCAGCTCCAGCGCAGTTGCACTTCGTCTTCTCCTGGCCGGCCACAATGACCTTTTCCATCTCGGCCTCCTCTGGAGTGACCTTTGTCGTGGGCGGGGCATCTGGATTCTTGCCGCAGCTAGAGCAAGCGCATTTGCCTGGAACACACGAGCACTTGCCGGAATTGGCGGAACAGGCGCATTCTGTGCGGCTCTCGTTGCCTGGGACTGGGTGGTTTGGCTCTTTGCCGGTCTTCAAAGCGGCAAGGTGCTTGGCCTCGTTGTGAACGTCAAGGACCTGCTTCTGGCCCTGCTCGTAGAACGCGCGCAACTTCTGTCCGGTTGGGGTGCCCAGCGCCTTCTCGAAATACGAGCTGAGACCGAGCCAGCCTTGGTTTGCCTTTGCAGAGATGCCGTATTGGGTATCTGTGGCCTTGGCCTTGTCGGTCACCTTGTACTTGGTGTCGATATTCGTAAGAGCGGTGGTGAAGCGGGCCGAGATGCCATGCTGCTGATCGAGAGCGAGGGCACGCTGAATGACCTGGTCGCTCAAGTTGTAGCCGTGTGCCAGCATTTCGGCGGCAACACGAGCGCGTGGCTTGTCTTCTTGCTGGATACCCTCGCTCTCATGACTGGCTCCCTTCTCGCCTGAAGCTGCGGACGCCTGGCCAGCGGTGACGTGCACTTGTGCTGGGCCGAGCTGGGTGTTGTCAAGCAAGAGAGCGGTCTTAGCGGCAGTCTCTTTCTCGAAGGTTACGGTGGCGGACTGGGTGGATGCATCGTCAGGCGACACGGAGAGGTCCTGAATCTTGCCGCTGTGAAGAAGGTGTTAGCATCCTGCAACTGTTGGGAGTTCGCTCCGTGCCATCGGACGTTCTGGGAGTCGCAAAACGCGTTCAGCTGCGTGGAGCACACGCTGCTGCGGGAACCATCATTGCAGACGGCTGGAAATGCTGGAAGGGTACATACCAAAAGCTGAAGAAGTCTCGCACCTCCTTCTCAGAGGTCTGCGAGCTAATGCCCTTGACGTGGATGGTGTTGGACATGATTGTTATTCGATTTGTGGTTCGGTTTGTGGTTTGGTTTGATATGAGTTGGAAGTCGGAGAGTGTACGTTGCGAAGGAAGGGGTGTGCTTGGAAGGTTTTATGTCTTGGTTGGAGCGCTGTTTCTGCGTTTCGCTGCGTGACTTCTGCGTTCAACGTTCAACCAAGGAAATTGCCCCAAGCTTTCATCAATCGAAGCAATGACGATTGGTGGGGCAGCGTTGCCACGTGCCAGCGCCACAATTTCCTCGCATTCTGGACACTTCGCGAAACACACACGACACTCCATGCGATCCCTTTGAAAGTCATACCGGTGATTCTTGGCGAACTAGTCCCACTAATGGTTCCACTTTCCACGTAAATTTAGTGACGCGGCGAACGCCGATTAGGCGTGTAGCGGCAGCCGACCTCGCTCCGGACAGGGTGTCGATTAAGGTTAGTAAGGAGGGTAGATTATAAGCCGCAAAGTTAACCTTAGAGATTGACTTTGCTAGTTAAACCTAAGCAAGTAAAGGAATATAGTATAATGCCGCCAAGTATACTAGAGAGACTAGTTTGTAGACTAATAGACCTATAGAATATAGATAAAGGTATACTAACTTATATAATAGCTATAGACGCACTTCCGTACTAAGGAAGAGTCTCGTTAGCGCCGTAGGCTCTACTCGAAGGGTATTAAATTAAGTATAGAAGAGGTACGGCGACTAGTACTACTAAGAAGTCTATTAAAGTAGCGACTATCGACTACTAGTAACTAGTAGAAGGCTATTATAGAGCGCCTCGATAAGGTAGAAGTATAGGTAAAGGACTTAAGGGTAGATTTAAACGTATAGTAATAGCAACAAGCCGTTGCCGCTCGTAGTAAGGATACTATAGTAAAGGAAGAGCCTAATCCGACCGTAGAAGGCTCTTAAAGTAAGGAAGAGGTTATTAGGGCCTCCGAGTTTAATTAATTAGCGTCTAATATAGTAGATTTAACGAAGGAGGTAAAGGAGCTAAAGGCGTTATTGTTATCGCTATTGCAGGTTTAATAGAAGGCGTTAGAGCCGGCGTTGCAATAGCTAAAGTACTCGTAGAAGTAGATAGCCTATTATCCGCAAATATAGGCCTCTAAGCCTTTCGGTAGCTTCTTATATCTCTTACATTATACTAGTCGTAGAAATAGAGCTTATAGAGGTTGTATTCCGGTCTATAGTTAAGGCAAGTCTTAGTAGCATCAAATTCTCGCCTTCCTTCCTTCTTAATAGGCTACTAAGTTAGCCGCTAAGAGGTCCTTATAAGCCTATAAAGCTAGCACCTTCGAGGGTTAATAAGAGTGCGCTTTCGGACGTGCTTATAGCTATAGTCTAACCGAGGGACCTTCTTAGGAAGACCGGCTATCTTATTAAACCTATAGCGGCGTAGACGAGGTAAACTAGCGTTATAATTTACGTATATATTGCCCTTAGCAAACCTGCCTCTATTATATAGCAAACTAGACCTTAACTCGACGGCGGCTTTAAATTCTGCGTCTCGGATAATATATACTCCTAGGCGGCTACGCGTGCCTAGAAGTGTACGAGCAAAGCTTACGCCTTATAGCTAGCTAATTAGAAGCTATCGTCGTTATTATATTAATTACTTTTAGAAGGCTTAGCAATTAGCAAAGCGTATAAAATCGACTTAGTTTATCGCAAATCTATTAATAGTATATAAAGGCTTTAGAGCCCTCGTATCGCCTCTTAGCCTCTTATACTCCTCCGACTAATTATCTATATCGATATCGGCATCGCTATCGCTACCCTCGAAATTGAACTAGTCTAAAGGCACCTCCGCTTTAGAAGAAGAGGAAGAAGAAGAAGAAGACACCTCTTAACCGGCTGCCTTAGCAGCCTCCTTTGCTAGATACTCCTAGATTTGCTTGTCTGCCTTAGCCTTCTACTATGTCTTAGTATATCGCTCCTAGATCTCGGCAAGGATTTGCTAATAGTACGCTATACTAAACTCGTTTAGTTAGATAGAAGGAAGCAGAGGAATAGCCGGTTAACGTACTAGCGGGCGAAAGTCCTAATCTATACTATTATATAGTATATTAAGGTGCTATATACGAAGGCGAAGCGCGTACGCTTAGAGATCCGCTTCGATACTAAAGACTTGCTTAGGAACTTAACCTTGTATAAGGACTATAGCATTGTAAATTGCTAGCGTACCGTAGTTGTATACGTCCGCCTATCGAGTAGCCTAATCGATTTCTTATTATATCTATTAATTACCGAGTAGCTAGCTAGCAGCTGCCGCTACTAGGAATAGGGATAGTAATCGTATAAAACATAGGACAAGACGGATGCTAAGAGGGCCTATACTTCGACGTCTATCGGCGTACGTATCTAGCTAGGAGTTCTAGGTCTTTACTATAGTAGTGCGGGGATCGAACATAGCTGTAACTAGATGCTTGTTAGATAAGTAGATAAAGACAATAGGACGTAACTTGTCGTCTAGCGAGAATTCTAAGGATGTAAGCGTAGTAAGTAAGTTATTAGTAGTTAGCTAATACTAATTAATGCCTTTAGTACTAGCATCCGTCTACTACTAATAGTCGATAGGCTTTAAGTTTATAGCGGAAGGCTATCTAAAGTCGAGAATAGCCTTAATCGCGATATTAACTATATCGACTACTCTAGCCTCCCTAGCCTCGGAGAGAAACAGGAGCGAGTAGGCCTGCTTAGGATTAATTAGGTCTCTACCGCGAATAAAGGACTCCTCGGATAGGCGTAAAATGTCGGTTATAACGATATCGTCGTACTAGGACTTTAGTATCTCTTTAGGTATTAACTTAGGAGCGAGGTTGTTTCGTAGAAGGTAGGCAACCTTATCGAACATAGCGAGTTCCCTTAAGCTAATGCTAGTAGAAGACTTTATCTAAAAGCGTACGTTGCTAGGGTTAACCTATATACGACGTCCCTTTCTAGTAGCGACATTCTAGTACTTAAATACTAGGTTAATAAGTCGTACTATTTAAGGGTAAGGACATCGACTAGTAGGTAGATACTCTTCTTTCTTCGCATTCTAGATAATACGAGATTGTATAGTAGCGGCCTCCGCTTTATCGAGGAATATACGCCGGAAGACCTGCTAGAATACTCTCTCGCCTTTAAAGTCCTATATAAAGCATCTCTAGTATACCTTCTAAAGTGGACGTATAGTATTAATTAACTCTTACTTATAGTAGTAGAAGGTAGATAGTAATACTAATTCGACCTTAACCTGTCTTCGGAAGTTGCGTTCTAAATCGATATTAGCTAGGTATATAAAGGTAGGTAGCGGTTGCGGAGGTATATAATAGCCCGGTTGTTATTAAACTAGGGCAGGGGCCGATATAAGAGGAGGAGCGGATATAGACAGTATAGAACCGACAGAAGACGTTAAAGTAGAAGATAATATCGAGATAGCGCGTTATCGATATACGGCGCTATTAGACGGTCTATCGCGGGCTTAGTAGCGTAGATTACGCTGCGCCTAACGCTCGTTACGTTAAACCTCTTCTATAAAGAGAAGGCGGTCTAGATCCGCGTCTGCCTTACGAACTAGTATACGTCGACAAGGTACTTTCGTAATTAGGTTATAGACCTATCCGGATATAGGAGGGAATCCTTAGCTTATATCTTTACCTTGTACTAGATCATTATTAGGATCATTATCTAGCCCCTATTGCTACTCCGGCCTATCGATGTCTATATTATTATCCTCGCTAGGCAAAGGCAAGTTAGAAGGAGTCTAATAGTTAACATTATTATCGTCGTCGTCTACGTAGTCCGATAGTAGTAGCTACTAGACAAGGGCTATATAGAAATTGTCGGATAGTTAGGCTATAGCGCTACTAATACTACTAAAGGCTCGTAACGATAGTATAGGCGTTGCTAGTAGCTCGGGCAGATATTGTAATTGCCTCCGCTATTCGTCCGTAAGCCGTATACGCTATATATTACCCGCTAGATTGCGAATACGTTATAGATCGAATAGCTCTTTAAGCATTAGACTAGCGAAGGTCTTAATACGAGAGAAGGCAATGTATATTAAGCCTACAGAGAAGTCTTTAGGCCTAAGCTTAATAATAGCCTTATTTAGGGTAATACCCTAGGCTTTGTAGACTGTTAACGCGTAGGAGACAGTTAATAGAAACTGCTCTCGCTAGTTATCTTCCTGTCTATCTACGTTACGGCGGATACGAAAGATAGGGACAATCTTCCGAGAGCTAACATTAAAGAGTGCTAGTGCATTATCCTTTAGGCTTTCAAATGCGATTAGGAGGCAAAGAGGTAGCTCCTTTCTAAGATTCTTATCTCGAGCAGACTCTAGCTAGATAATATTATAGACGATACCTTGCCTACTATTAACTATGCCAAATTCCGTCTAAATATTAGTAAGCAGCATTACCTTGCATCCGATAGATACCTTAAGGGTGCTTTCGAGATTAAAGACGTTCTTAGAGGGAACTAAAGCGGTATCTAATCGGTTATGCGAGGCACTAATAGGCAAGATAGCGTTACTAATGTCTCGAAGCTTCTAGTAGTTTAGATTATTAACATCTGTATTAGTAAAGTAGATTCGGGTTGCATCCTCGAAGCTACGGAGTTTAGCCGGATCCGTAATATTGCTACGTCGTATAAGAGTTTGCTAGTATAGCATTTAAGCTATGCCGGTACGTAACGTAGAAAGGGCTTCTCGAAACGCGACCTAGTCCGGACTATCGCCTTCTTGTCGTATATTAGCCTATAGAACGATAGACCTATTAAATGCATAGTATACGGCTTGTCTAGCGATCTTATAAGGAGTCTTTAGTATCGTATAAAATAGGGGCTTTTAGAATACGGGCGTAAGCTAATAGAAGTTACTAAAGATAATAACATTCATTCTACCGAACATCGCGTCGTAATTAAGGCACTATCGAAGCCGCTGGTTAAGCATCTAAAGTAGAGGTTAACTAACTATAGACTTCTCGTCGATAATAATATACCGTATAGG